GCCGGCGGGCGCTCGCTCGCTCCGTCCTCGCCGGCCTGGGTCTCCTCTGCAGAACCGGCCGGCACCGACGGGTGTCGGAGGGAAACTTTAAAAAATAATAACCACAATGCTGCTGAAACCGACTCACAAACGACTCTCTAATTTAAATGCGCTCGGTTGAATTTCCGCCCCTGCATGCATCGTATTGTGTACCGAGTGACGTGGCATGCGGCGCTGGGAAAGCGTCTTCTTCTTTACCGATGTCCGACGTGTGTTTTTTCAGATCCGTACTGTTGCCATTGCAGACATGAACTTGTGCTTTCCCAGCAGGGTGTGTATCATTGTATCATTATCGTCGCGTTTGCGTTGCCAGATCCTTGTAAAGTGTAGAAAAGAGCCCGCCTGTCCCTGAATGAAAGACTAAGTATTATTAACACGTCTCAGACTTGTGGAGTCCATACTCAGCGTTGCTCAGAAACGTCTGAATATTTGCATAAGTTTCACATGACAGTGGGTACTGAAATTAAGTCATTTCGTTCAGCACTTTAAAACTTTCTTACAAAATTGTTTTAAAACTTATGATTTTTTTTTTTTTTTGGTAAACAGTGATGGTCTCCTGACTCTCACCAGGCTTCCGCTAGGGAAGAGAATTGATTGCATGTTGTCCGCGGAATGCTGCCGCCTTCCGACTGTGGAGTGATGAGCTCAGCAGCGCTTCTCAGAGACACTTTTAAGAAATGAATTATTTATTGAAAAATGTTCTATGCTTTTTAAATTTTTAAAGAATTGACCTAAGCAAAGCCTACGATTGGACTTTTTTTTTCCCCCAACCATTTAACATTTACTTCAAGTACCCAGTTTTTATAATTTATATAAAGTCAAATTTCAACCCTTCTTACTTTGTCATTTTGTAGGTCATTTTTTTAATACCGTGTAAAAAACCGTTTTTTTACACCTAAGCTGTGTTTTTGATACTGATATTTTCCTATGCTGAATAATTTTCTTACTTTCAGGGAAGGTAAGAAAATACTTTTTTTACATTTGTTACTTATGTAACATTCATATTTTTCACATTTTGATATTTGTAACATACTGTATGCTTTCTACTTGTAAATGCCAACAATAGAATTAAAATATTTATTTAAAATATGTTGCATTCATAGTGTGATATTAGATTTTCACCTTTCTATGTTATCTTCATGCCCAATCGTGAATACTCCCTTCTTGTCAGTAGGTTGTGGCGAGCTCAACTCCAGGTGGGCGACATAGTTTTCTTTCAAAAAACGTGAGTATGGATTATTGCCAGAACAGATATTTTAAGGTCGCTTTACTGCACGTCTACCTGTTTCAGTCCTTGGATTTCCCTAGAGCATAATGAGTCTCGACTCGGCTGGGTCTCAGGACAGCGGTCCCCAACCTGTTCGGCACCAGGGACCGGTGCTCCTATGAGAATCTAACGCCCGATGATCTGAGGCGGAGCTGAGGCGGTGATGCTGGCGCTGTGGAGCGGCTGCGAACGCAGAAGCAGCTTCGCTGGCTCCCCCGCAGCTCACCTCCTGCTGTGTGGCCTGGTTCCTCACAGACCACTCAGGGGTTGGGGATCCCTGTCTTAGGGGGTCTAACTTTGTTTTGAATCTGGTTTAAGCATCCTGGCAATAATCGTTTTGATGTCCCCGGTAAAGTATGTTCACCGAAAGCCAGGATTATAGTTTTACGAACAGCAATGAATTAAAGCTGATTAAGAAAAAATGCCTGGGTCTCATTTTCTCCAAAATTTTCTAAGTCCAATGGTGTAGGAAGAATCACAGTGAATGCTCTGCAACAGACACCTGTCATTTCTTGATCATCCTGTTGCACGAATTCTAAACAAATTTTACATGCTACCTTAGCCAAGACAAATGTCTGTTATCAGGTACTCACCCAAGAGTGGAATGATTCAGCAGAGGAGACTAGCCCAGGACAAGATCCATTTGTGTAATAACAGTCACATCTGAAATAACAGGATTTATGCAAATTACTGCACAATCTCAGAATTTTCTATAACTAATATTTGCCGAAAATATTATACTCTGACTGTACCACTGTCCCACAGTGAACAGCGATTTTAACAATATGTGAAAGTTTTAGTAAATAAAATATCTTAGTAAATAGAACATTTTTAAAATTAATACCAGCAGACTGAAATATAGAACAGAATTATTTTGTCATTTAATAATGCTGAGATTATTTTTTTTTCAGAATAAGAAATAAAATGATAACATTCCTATAATGTGGTTTAGAGACTGAGTATAAGACAGTAAAATTTTTTGTCACCTGTGATGAGGCAACACATTTTAGTATTTCCCTATGCATTTTAGTCGTATGAATTTATGAGGCAGATATGGGAACATGTTGATTGTTTCACATAACTCAAAACAGAATACATTTTTTTCTCTAGAAACTGAAGCATCTCAGTGTCTTCAAAGATATAAACTCTCTAATTGAGAACAGAGCTGAACGTAAAATGATAAACATGATTATAGCTAAGGGTTAAGGGGAAAGAACCCAATGCCAAGATTCTGTATTCTAATTCTCTAAGAATTTTTTGTGTGAGAGAGAAACGCAATTTCCTTGATTAATCAATCCCAGTTTAGGCCCAAGACAGAGTTTTTATAGGACAATTTCTTGTCCTTGGAAATCTTTTTTCATTGAAACGAGAACAATGCTCATAGCAAAACAAATCAAAAATGGATGGAATGAAAACCGCACTTAAAGTGGAGATTTCCCAACGCTTAGGGAAATGGAGTGATTCGGCATGTACTGTGGCTGCGGGTGGTTACAGGCCAACTGACAAGGTCACGATTCACTCAACTCCACGGTTAATAGTGACTTACGTGTTCGCACATAAAACCACGAGCTCAGAATTTTAATCCAGCCCCTGTAAGGGTTTATGGGCTTGCCTGGAATACAGTTACTCTGGGGCTCGCCCTGCGTCTCTGCTGTGAAAAATGTCACTTGCTTCCATGCACACTGACAACACCTCAGTGGCTGTGCTGGCACGCAGAGTTGCGGGCTTGGACTGGCGACATGGCGTGGGACTCCGATCGCTCAGTGCTTAAGAAGCACATTGATCTCGAAAGCCACAGCTTTCAAGATGGCGTCTGTAATTTTCTCAATTAGCTGATTTCATCGATAGCTTCTTCAGATAAAATCATTTTAAGAAAATGGAGCCATCGAGAGGGCCGGGACCTCTTCTCATTTACATGTTGCTATCAAAATATTTACCAATGTCAAGGTTGATGAGAGAGAGAGAGAACTGACAAACTATTGAAAGTTATGTCCTTTATACATATTTCATTTATTAGGGAAATGAATTATATCACTAGGTGACTTTATTACTTCCAGACACTCCATCTAAGAACAAATCATTTTTGTCATGAAAATGCATTCTTACTCACTTGAATTCCACATTACAGTAAAAATAATCTGTTAAAGGTGAAAATATTTTTTTAAATTTTGAATCAATAATTCAGCACTGCCCTTTTTTCATTTTATGTCATAGATCCAATTTAAAAGACCTAACGTTTCTAGATGACCAAATTTACATTTCCTTAGGAAAAATTAAGCCTAGAAATGTATCTTAGCATACGTTTGTTAGAGCTTTTAGTGTGATATAAAACATTAGAGTTTATGATTGCTATATATTTCTTCAAGACAATATGAGTGAAATGCCACATGATTAATAATTTATATGGTTACCACTACTGAACCAGCTAGTAGTTTTAATGGTTTATCAGTCCAGGAGTTATAGGCCAGTGTTATAAAGGAATCCAGCATTTTCATTTATTGTTAATGAAGGGAAAAGGCGCACAGTTCTAATAGATACATATCGATGAGTCAACTCTAACGTGGCCTACGCATCTACGATACCATTGCAACCAAATGTATCACTGACTAAAGACCATAAAGTACAATATTATCCTCCAACAGAGAAATTAACTGAGCTGTGAAGAAGTTCAGTGCCCTGGCGAATCCCTTTTACTGCAGACGATAATAATTAGAGCCCTCTACACGCCGAGCACTCTTCTAGATCATGCGATAAAACCGCGAAGAAAAGAGACAGTGCCTTCCTCCATGCAGCTCCCATTCCAGCAGAGGACATAGACGATCAATAACTATAACATGCATTATGTACCGCGATATCTAGTGGAGACGAGCGCTGGCGAGCAGGGCGGGGGGTCAGATGGCGACTGGGGAGTGCGTATGCTGTTTTAGGTGGGTTGATCAGGGACGACCTTCCTGGGGAGGTGACATCTGAGCAGGTTGCTGAATGAGGCAGCAGAGTGAGCCATGGACACGCATGGGTGGCACTGTCACAGGCAGAGGCAGTGGCATGGGGAGGCGTGGAGTGGAATAACACTCTCTTAGAGGAACAGGGAGAGACTCAACAAGCCAGATCGATGTCAGCACATCAGCAAATGCTGCACCACAAAAGCCTTGGGGATGAATGAATGTGAGGATAAAGAGTAAGAATGATAATTCAGAACAGGCCCAGAAACAGCATTATTGTTGAAGCCAATCTTTACGTGTGTGTTATCTTGCAAAATAAGAGCCTCTCCATATGCAAAGTAAACGCTGAGAATGTGGCTGTGCACTCCCTCTGCACCAATGCCCGAGACCCAGAAGACAGAAGAGACATGCGTTAATGGAGATGAACGTCCGCGCTCACGCTGATTGAGTCACACAATCCTCTATGGCCAAGCCAGACCTGCAGGCACATTGATAGGAGGCAGGTTAAGACAGATGATGGCAAAGCAGTCTATTCCTTTTTGCTGAGGCATTCACATATCCAAAGTATGAAATATCTGCGCCTTAGAAGATTGCAGAAATTCTGATTTAAAATATCGACTTTTTTTTTTTTTTAATGAAATGGGTCATTTGAAAGGAGAAATTTTCAAATGGAATGAGAGATGTATATTGGTGGGAAAGAGAGATGGCAATCAAAATATCCCTAAGACACAATAGTAAATCTATGCATGCACTCAAGGCAGCTAAGGCTTGTCCAAATATATTTTAATGAGATTTTGTTGATTTGTTCATAATGAGTATCGTTAACCCCCATCTTTGCACCACTAATAAAACTTTATCAAAATATGCTCAAATTTCAGAAAAGATCCAAGCCGAGTGCGGTGAACTTGGATTAAGATACTAGGACACACTTTTGGCATTTACCATGAAAACTCTTGGAAGAAGTTTTTTTATGCACTGTACAGTGTACATATGCCAGACACATAATCATGTTCGAATTCACGTAGGCAATTCTAACCAATGTGTCATTGACATCATACAGGTAACCTAAGGACTCTTTGAACTTATTAAAGGAATATGCTGAATAAATGACAGACTCATTAGATCTTCATATAACCTGTGATATAGTCAAGGTAGACATACTCAAAACATTTGTGAGAGAGTCTCCATATCCGAAGACATATAATTAAAGTGGAAAAGCCCTCAGAGCATTTAAAACATGCTGCATAAAAGCAGATAATTTCCAGGCGACCCATTTGGATACTTCCGATTTTATCAGTTTACGAATCAATTGGCCAACCGCCTCCCCGCCCCGCCGCCCAAATCAAGTTGCAGAGTACAAAGTGCAGTCATCATGGTTTTCTGGAAGAAAGCTCAGATCTTAAAATTACTGAATAATACCATTCTAGCCCAAATAAAACAACCAACAACGTACAAAGTTCTTTGGCAATGTCACTGAGTTCCCCATTCCAAATTAAAACCACATTGTCTGGGGTACAGATGCTGATCAAAATGAGATTCCGTCTGCTCACTCAAGCCGTCCTCTTCTTACCGTAGAAGCACAGTCCGTGGCCAGAAGGCCGCCGAAAACAGTTATTGATACTCCGCTTTGAAGTCAAAAGGTGAAACGTTCTAGAGAAATGTTTCTCCAGAAAAACAGCATGGCTGAGACGATTGAGCGCAGCATAACCGCCCCCCAGAATGTGCTGATTCCTTGACAGCTCGGTCTGAGAGAAGAAAACGGTGTCCTGCACTGCATCTGGAGCAAGGCTCGTCTACGGGGGACATAAATTTGGGAAACGGCTTTCGATAAATAGAAAATGAAAAGCGGACTGCCCTCTTTCACCCCGGAGGAACTGTCATCAAGTAACTCGAGTTGGCAATCGTCTATTATCTAACAGGAAGCCATTCATGTCTTAAAAATATTTAACCCATGCGAAAAGCTTATGACAGCACGTGCTGCACACACATGGGTCTGGAGAGCAAATCCGAACCAGCTTTCTTTCTTTCTTTTTTTTTTCCTAGTAAGCTCTATGGACAGTGAGTATAGGACAGTGTTTCCTTTAAAGAGGAAGGTTCAGGCTGTCAGTACCATGAGATAGAAACAAGCACACGTGCAGTTTACTTGTCTTCATTTATGCAGCTTCAGATCGAGAATCGAATGAGTCTGAGAAATGCTCAGTGGATTTTAAAGAAGCCACAGCAATTATCTATAGTTTATAGATGGCTTTCTCTCCAAATTAAAGCACAGTTCCTGGCCACTCTGCATTTAATGGCCACCTTCCAATAGATGTTTGTGGGACATCAGATTAAAAGCATAATTATTCCCCGTCAGTCAGCCTGTAACTGGGCCTTGGGAGCATCCATTCGTTTTTTAATTTGCTCGGCAGAGTGTGCCAAGCCCTGGGGAGAATCAAGTGAATGAAGATGTCTCTTGCCTTCAGAGAGCTTGCAATTTGGGGCGACTAGACACTTTTCCAAAACATTTCAAAATCTGCATAACTCTGTTTTCAGAGAATTACTTCAATATTTCCAAAGAAAATTCTGTGTGTATTCATGTGTGCTCCGCAATGCAGGCTCCCACATATAATCAACAACTTCCTAAGCTTTATTTATATACTGCATTTTCAAAGTAACAAGATAATGGATTTAGCGAGTTTTAAAGGACATGTTAGGGAATTTTCTAGCTGTGTTGTCGAATTATGTAAGGCTTAGTTAAAATCCTGATATTTGAAAGCTATTGCCCTAAACTATTATCAGCTTTGTCCTAGCAGATACCACTTATTGTGAGGCTGGTTCATCTGATTTTAGGATTAGATTTTCACAGAATTTGGTATCATCCCCAGTAAGAAGTCTGTGAGGTTTTCCAGATTCACCACATTTTGCTGAGTTTGTAGTAAACAGGGCCGAAGTATAATTTGGGTAAAATTACTGAATAATTATCTCCAGCAGGTTGTCTAGCTATCTCAAAGTTTCGTGATCTTATAATTCCAGTGCTTTTAATTTTCCATTTTTATTTCTCTAGGCCCCTTTCATATTGTTATAGGTTATATGTGTGGCTTTTTCTGCAGAAAGAAGACATTAAAAACTGAAGAAAAAAAGGAGTAACTAAATGATTCTTTTTTTTCTCCTGACATTTTTGTTTTTCCAACCATATACCTTTTGCTAATTGTTCTGGTGAAACTGAATAAAATACCAGTGTGTCTTCTTTTTACTGAAAATTTCCTTTGGAGTATCCAATATAATTTCATATTACATATTAAGACTATTATTTAAGCAAATTCATATCTCCTAGAAGGTGCTGCATTAACTGACTGGCAAATATATTTTTATAGCCTCTATAATCATCGTGAGTTCATTGAAATGTAGAATCTAATATGGTCAGAGAATAAATGCTATTATTATCATTCATATCACAAAACAAAATGTATCTTTTTATAGTGAACTTTACTACGAACGCATTTTAGAATAACAAGTCATTGCTCTATTTTTAAATTGTTGGAGAACTGAGCTTTATTTTCTGGCTCTACCGACATTAGTTATAGTTTGTTAAAAGTAGCAAAGGCCAATAACAAAGTAAAATACTGTCATAGTTTTAGTAGTAACTCTCTGAATAATGAATGAATGGAGTGTTCCTGGGTGACCTAAAGTAAGCAAACATTTTCTATATAATATCCAACACTGAAAACATTTTTGAAGCACTTAAAATATTGGCTCTCATGATGTGTCCTAGTAAAGTCTTTTCACTTTTGAGATAACTGAGAATTTTGGAGAGATTTCAAAGACAAGTACAAAAATAATAATTTTAAGGTTCGCTAAGCTCAGATGACCTCTTTTACATTTCTCCTAACATAATTTTTTAAAATATTAATATACAGACAAGACTAGTCAATAAAAGACGTGAAAGACAGCAGCGAATCTAACGGTTTAGATGTGATATCATGTGACGGCAACTCTGACACGGACCCATATTTACATACACCTCGCCAAAGGGAATCATGACCTGTTTTCAGACTGAAGCTACTTGAGCGTTTTTGACAATTTGATACTATTGAGACTGGAGGAAATACTCCAATCCGCTCAAAACAAAGATTTAAAGAGAATAAATTTGCAGTGAGTATACCGTGCGTCCCTTAGTTCTGAAAGACTGTCATGGGCCTGGTAGGTGTGGTTAGGGGCCCCTCCCACAGCGCCTGCTGAGGCTGAGATTTAGACAGGGAGTCTGTCCCATGCATTTGGATTCAATTCTAAAGTACCTTAAAGATTCCTGGCCAAATAGACCCTTCACTCTCAACTACTCTTTAGTCACTCAAAGTAACTTTTTTTTTTTAATCTTAGAAGATACATATAAGGTGTTGATGACAGTGACCTATGGCATCAGGCTTGCGAAAAAGAGTGACGAGGAGGCGATTCACGAGTTAGAGCTACTTCTGCATATCTTTTTTGAAGAATGCGCACTGGGAGCCATGACCGCAGGCATCGCCACCCTCCCTCACACCCGCTGAACTGTCACCGAGCACACTGTGAAAGCCACAGCATCGGACCACAGACTGACTGAGGGCTGATTAGTCAGCACTCACGCGAGATCGAAATACCTCAGAGATTACATTCCATTATTAATTTGCTTTTGTAATTTAGTTTTTTCAACAGTTGAAATAAATCTTCCCAGCAACTGCACTAAACGAGCCAATATGGTAGTCCTCACACAATTGACCTTACGATATTCCTTTGATATGCAACTGTCAGCCATTACTCTTCGAGCCTGTCGTAATACCATCGTTGCCATCACGGTCTGTGACCCTGCCTTCGGCATTCAGCGTCATTACTGATCCTTTGGTTTAAAGTGGTAAACTAAAACCTTCCTGCTTCAAACCAGGCTGGACTGTCAGCTCCCTTTATTTCTCCGAGGTCCAGGGCTCTGCCAGCATTTGGCACTTACCCTCACCGCTGGCAGCCAACGCATTTCACCCCATCTCCTGACAGCGGCCGAGGCCGCGCTGTCATCCACTCGCTAGACCATTCGAATGCGATGAAATCGTGTCACGGTAAACACACTTTCAGTCCTTAGAGTTGTGCTACATAATGACATCGTCGTGGACCACCAAGGGAACAAACACAAACTTCCCTTCATTTTTCTTTTAAGACATCAATGACTTTGGTTCCTTCAGAAGCAGGAATCTATGAGAATCAGGGTAGGTATTGGCTAAAAATTTAAAGAAAAATGATCGCTATTCTACCAGTTTTGTTTTTATGGTTTTTGTTGGCATTCGCTGGCTCGGAGACTGTGAGGATGTTTTAAAACAACGTCCAAGTCCTAGAGACAATTGGACTAGTGGGCCATATATCCTTCCGATACAAATTCACAAACAGAACAGTATTTGGCAATAAGATTGAGTCCTCTGAAAGCAGATAGTACTCTTCCCAATTTGATTTATAAATATTGAGGATCAAAGACAGTGAGTGACTTTTAATTACCACAAGGTTGATAGGGCCAGAACTAGGATTCAAACTATGTTCAAACTAGATTTCAAAGCTCGTTCTTTTTCTCTGACTACCTTGAACTTACATGTGTCTCTTTGGTTTTCAAAGAGTTTTCAAATGAGTTATCTGATCTGAACATTATATCACACCTGTGGGGCTGATCAGACAAAAGTGATTATCACGTTTTACCAAGAAGAGAATATAGACTTAAAGGAACTTGCTCGAAGTTGTAGTTAATAACTGGTGGAGTTAACATTTCTCTCTAAATAGACTTATTAACCCCATGTGGAGTGTTTTCCCCAGCACATTATGACATAATCATATACTATAATAATAAATTATGATATAATAATATAATAGTACCATATATTTGATCCCCTTTACCCACTTCACCCTCCCCCTAAACCCTATATTTGACCCCATTTACCCCGTCTACCTTCCCCCTCTTCCCCCACCCCACTAGTAACCACTAGTGTAGAGTCCTCAGAGTGAAATGCCAGTATGACATCTTTGACATTAACCAACAGGCACTTGAGGAACACTGGGCCAGGAATTGTCATGCTAAAAATAACGATGTTGGAATATTAATCTGGCAGCAGATTAGAAACCAATATTAAAGAAGCGATAGAGAAAATACGACATGAAAAAGCTAAAAATAAGAGCAATGTATAGAGAAGATCTTCAGAACATGCGAAGCACATGATGCACATTTCTCTAATTTAATGAATTGATTTTGTGTAGGTCTCACGACTACCAGAAGAAGTAGTAATTTTATTCTCTGATTTGCCTGTGAGGAAATTAAGGGTTAGGGCTTTGGTTGTATAACTGACAGAGGGTAGACCTGGAATTTAGACCCGGGTCTCTCTGAGTTCAGAGTCAGCGTCACTAGTGAGTACATCGATAGCTTTCATGTTCGTCATGGTCCCCTCCCGAGACTGTGCCCGAACTTCTGCCTGCAGTTCTTCACATGGTGTGTCCTTACTGGGTGTTCCCACCATGTGGCCGACATATCTGGCTCTTTCCCGTTTCTTTTTACTTAAGAAGCTGACCCTGAACTAGTGTGAATCTGCCATTATTCCTCTTTACTGTTCCTCTATGTGCATAATCGAAGTGATAACAATAGCGACTCATAGGTGGTGCAAAGATTAAGCGGATTAATTCAGGTAAAATGCCTAGAACATAAGTGCCTCACACATAATCAGAACTCCATCCACAACTAGAAGGATGAAGCTGATCATTTCTCTTCAATCTTTTCATGAGCACGTACAATGATTTTAATCCTAAGGCGGCAGAGCTTGTCATCAGACTAGTAGAATATGATCTGGTCTCTAGTCAAGTGAGTAGAAAGATACTAAACTAATCCTCTAATAAGCCTGTTTGTAAGTAGAGGATTTTTACTCCACAGCAGAGGCAAACAAATTTGAAAGATCTTTCTGACATCTTTATGAGCCTCCAAGACAGTTGATATATAAGGTTCTAAGTGGAAAAGCTTAGGGGTTTGCATGTAGACCAGCCTGAGCGACTGTGATGGATCCCTACGCCAACGCTCTCCATTAGACTCGAGGTAACGACTTCAAATTTTCAAATATTTCTTGTCGAAGTGTGTTCTTTTCAGAAAGCCACTTCTGGATGCACTGTTTTACCTTCCCAAAGCTGAGGTTTTTCTTGTATTGCGAGAAGATTGTTTTCTTTGCAATTTGCAGCCAGAGAAGTTGCACACCAGGCACAAATGGAAGCCAGTTCCGTTGAATAATGATCTCGAGAGCAGCCAGTATTGCATCTTTCTCAAGTACCAGAGTTATAAATCATCGTATGGTCTCTGGGAGAGGCACTGCTTTTGTGAAGGGAAACCGTGTGTTTAATATGACTGCTCATCAGTTTTTATTGTGAAATAATAGAATACTTAAAGTTTTGAATGAAATAAGTCAGACAGACAAAGGCAAAGAGGGTATGATCTCACTTATATGTGGAGTCGTAAAAAAAAAAAAAAACTCACAGAAATCGAGAACAGATTAGTAACTGCCAGAGGCGGGGGTGGGGGTGCGTGGGAGGATGAGAACAGAGGGTTGGAAGTATGAACTTCCAGTCATGGAATGAGTAAGCCCTGGACATGTAAGGCACAGCACGTGATTGCAGTTAACCGCGTGGTATCAGATATTTGAAAGTTACTAAGAGAGTAGATCTTAAAAGTTCTCATTACAATAAAAATTTGTAATTATGTATTGTGACAGATCTTAACTAGACCTGTCCCAGTCATTTTGC